CCTCCCGAAAAAAAAATGAAGGAACCAGGCAGGAAAACCAAGGGGAAAATGTAGAGTAGTGATGAGTTAGATAGCTTATTGTCTTTATTGTCATTTTGAGAAATTTCCAGCTGAAAATTTCAATGGAAAAAGATTTTAGCATTCACTGTTACAACATATCTCATGGGTCGCCTATATTTTTTATATCAAAGAAAACAAAGGAAAGCAAAATCTTTTCTCATTTTTTTTAAGGCCACACCCCTTAATTGTGCTTGTTTCCTAATACTTGTATTGGAATTAAATTGGATGAAAAAATTTAGACTGATTCATGCCGTCACAAAACTTAAGACAATGCTCTTTGATGAGAACTTGGAACTTGCCGGGAACTCATGACTCCAGTTCATCACTGTGTTTTTCACATATATACCAAATTTTTGTATTAAATTCTCCCAAATTATTCTCAAATGTAGGAAACAAGATATTTGGCACTCTGCAAGGCAACAAATTATATCTATAGAGTTGTCAGAGCTGAAAGCTTAATCTCAAAGTAAGCCATCACAGTATTGTCAATATGCTACCTATAGGAGTTGTAGTAAGCAAATTAATAAACCAAAAAGAAGAGATGGACTAAGAACTTACAAATATTAAGAAACAACTTTATAACAATTATATTTGAACACTAGATATAAAATACTGTTTTGGCTGAAGGAGCATTGATTGATAAACAGATATATTAATCAGACACAGACATAAAAGCACAACCGAAATGATAGTACTGTGCTCTGCTTAAAAGGTATCTCTAAGTATTGTCAGTCAGCTAAAACAGTATGTATGTAGCAAGGTACTTCTGACTTAAAATAAATAAGTAGTAGTGAGGAGGAAACCAATGTTTTCCCCCCCAGCCAACTACAATAACAACTATCTTGACAGTATAGCCTAAAATCAAACCTTTAGATTTGCTTCAGAGCAGATTACTGGAATTAAGACCAATACAACCCAAATCAAGAAATGTTCCTTCCTTAGACTTCTTAATGCAGAAAATAATGCATCATGTGTGCACTATACTATCACTCACAGGGCCTCATTTAAATCCATTCTGAACGATGATTTTTCCTTTTTACTTGATATGTAAGGTCATCTCGGTTTTATCAGAAATTACTTACAGAGATAAAATTGCCTTTAGAAGAAAACATTATTTCCATGGAATGGGAATACAAAATAGCAAGTTCATATTTTTAATTCGTTGCACCCTGGTTGGAGCTAAAATGTTATTTGAGTGCCTTGTCAAAGACCAAACATAATACTAACATTTATAAATATTTGTATTGAAATAAAAATATATGACATTCATACAAAGTTTTTAGAACTCAGATAGCACAATGAAGATATCGAAACAAATCTTCTTACTTGGAAATGTTTGTTATTCGGGAGTTCTTTTTGTTGGAAGCTACCCTAAATATCAGCTGTCCTGAAGGGTTTGATGAGATTAAGCCAAAAGCTTACACTAATGCTGGTTGAGTGAGGCCTGATACACAGATTTAAAGCAATATTATCTGTACAAATAAATAGTCTGGCGATTCTCTTCAGCCTCATCTTATTACCGTAAGACTGAAGAGGTAGAAATTTGTGAACCAAAGTTATTATTTCTAGTATATACACTCTTATAACTTACATCTAATACAAAAAGATAGAAAACAGGGTATTCATCAAAATACAAATAATATATACTTACAATTGGTGACAGATCAACAATTATTTTTTTGTGCTTCAATTAGTAACAATTATTTTAATCAGGCTCCACCCAACGCTCATAGCTTTACAAAGAAAAAATGTTAAAAGACGTATAAATATAATTACACAATTTGGCATTACATGAATTAACAGCTTATTTCTCTATGAATTATCTTATCTTGGGTAATGCATGATTTTGAAACAATTTTACAGTGTAGATAAAATTGTCTAATCACATCACCTTTAAAAGCATAATGTTTCAAATCCAAAAGGCTCAAAACAATCAAAATAAAATTATGGCAGTGCTATCATTCATAAGCAGTGGTTAACCCATATGCATTTTACAGCAAGCAATTAGGATTGTTTGAGCTATGGCACATTTGTGAGAGCAACTGCATGTGCTAGCTAGAGATGTTCCTAGACAAAACACACACAAATTTTCATTGTCACTGTCAAGCTTGGACATTAGATAAAAATGAACAGATAAGAAACATATAAATTGACTAAAATGAGAAAGTAAAATTATACAAAAAGTAACAGATGACTTAAATAAGACTGGTTGTCAACTGAAAAACCTATGACTTATCTAACATTCACAATAAAGCACTATACAATATCACTGAGATATGCTGCAAATTTCTTTTTTTATGTGCATTATATAACTTTTTGCGAGCATTAGATGAAAATTATAATCTGAATATTGGTACAGTATTTACAACAAGACTCAAGGCAGAACTTTCCTACTTCTTCAAATTAATGAGTTGCTAGCATTATTCTCCTTAAATAAGATAGTTAAAATATTCAGTATTTTCAGAGTTTCTTACAATTAGTATAACAAATTTAGTACCTATTTAGATCCAAACTTTACATTCAATCATAAAAAAAGAATAAAGTTATCTCATTTTTGAGAAAGTCTTTTTAAACTTGGTTGGCAAATATATTATTTAAAAGAGGAAACTCCCAAAATGCAGAATTGAAGAAAAAACGTTTGCAGCAGAAAATGCAGTATTTTTGGTTATGAGGATTACTAATTGTGGTAGGAGTGTGTAGGAGTTTCAGCATAGTCCTCATTATCATCATCAGACCTGAAAGAGAAACCAATGAGTGTTAGTGGTAAACTTTCCTACAAAAATTATCAGTTCATAAAAATCAGAAACGGGTGCATGACAAAATCCCTCCAAGTTGGGCGAGTACCCTTTCACTTGCAATACCCAATGATCCATGGTGTAAGAATGATAGTCGAGATTAGGATTCCAAACCAATAATTTCTCACTGAGTAAACACTAAATAATACATGACGGAAAGGAAACAAAACTTCCATCATACCTTCAAATCTTATCTCCAGTATGGTGAGCTTGCTTTCATACTAAAAAGTATTATTATAATTATTGATGAAATACAGAGGGAATGAAGAGACTGACAAGACGACTTGTGAGTAGGTGGTTTCATTGTTGTTTTTTTTCGTTTAGCAGTGTCTAAATCATTGAAGGGTGGGTCAAAAATAGGATGAGAATTATCACTAGACCTCAAGAAAGGGTCATGGTTATTCTTTAAAATATTATTGTCCTTATTAATTGAATTAATATTACTAGTTTCCTGAAAACTTTTATCTGTACTTAATATTTGTATTGTATCCACAGGTTTTTCATTGCTTTCATACGGGTCATGGATACGATGACTAATGTCTTGTATATCAGTAACAGTGTCAGTAATAACAGGTAAAGGTTGTGACGTTGTCATTATGTCTTGTTCTATATCAAATATTTGTGCAGAATCAGTATATACAAGAGAAGACGGGGTCCACTTAAAACGATTGTGAGGTGGTACATCACTCCTTGAAGTGAAAATAGAAGGAAAGAGCAGCATTCCAAGACAAAACAGTTCAGAAAGAATGTTAGTATTTTGTCTTCGCTACTTATCAGTTATTCAAAGCAAAATCACTAGAGAGCAACTTACTTTGGACAGTTCAGAATGTTGCTGCCTTGCAAAGCTTCTTCAAACAAATTTAATACTTTGGAGTTTTGGATTTGCACTGCATGAATGCAGCCTGAGAATCCATTTGAATGAGTGTTGCCTGTCATAAGGTCTGCATTTGGTACTCCACCTAGGATTAAAACATGATTGAATTTGAAAAATCTTTAAGTACTGGTAACTTTAAATCAGAGATAAATGTACACACAAAATTGGCTCACACCTACCTATATAAATATTTCCATTTGTGTTCAACTGTGTGAGATTACCATTACTGTGTCCTCGGGCAGAATACTGCCCATCAAGTTCTATACTGCCTTCTTCTGCGCGGCGTCTTAGAACAACAGTATGTGGTAGTCCATCATTAACATTAACACTATCAAGGCGAATGTGTGCTGGTCCTGAACCTAGTTCATAACTCCATTCTAATTTCCCATTGATAACTGTTGTAAAAAAAAAAAATCAAACTAATGCATATAGAAAAGAAAATTAACAAACATCACAGAAAACTTATTGAAACTTTCACATACTAGAAAGGGATAAGTAGTCTTGATTTTGACCATCATCATCAGGAGACTGTCCATGCCAAAGCACTAAAGAGTTGGTATCATTTGTAGTGAAACGAATGCTTATGACTTCATCTTCTGAGTTAGATTTATGAGGCAAAAAATCACGGTTCAGCTCAAGCCATCCATCTCCACCAAAGCTGACTTGAGAACTAAATATTACACCTGGAAAGAAGAAAGTAATTCAAGCAGCATGAGTATTTTTTGCTAAATTTTGTCATCTTTTCCCTAATCTTATTAGGAAACTGACAGAATGTCGTACTTACTTTCATTGCAAGTTGCTCCACCAAATCCAATTGGGCAATGGCACTTAAATGAACTTAGAGATCCAGTACATTTGCCACCATTCAAGCAAGGATGCAGGATAAGGCACATGTCTGATTCTACCTCACAATCGTGTCCACTGAAATAAAGGCAGTACAATATTCAAGTGCCGAACAGAGAGAAGGGAGGGAAGGGGGAACATAAACCACAGTAAACGGTAAAAAACATGTCTAACTTTTTCAGGAAAAGGGGAGAATTTTGAGAAACTCCTATAATTTGACTTCCTCAGAATCTTTAGAGTTTTCCTCAACCTAGAGGAGTTCCAGAAAGTTTTCCCTTTTGCCTGGAAAATCAGACATGTTTTCACCATATAACAAACACAAACAATATATTTAAAAATATACCTGAATCCCTCAAGACAACTGCAAGTGTACTGGAGAGCCCCAATTGCATTGCAAGCTGCTCCATTTTGACATGGAGCAAAGTGGCATGGGTCTGCAACACCACCCCGCCCACCTCTTACTCCATGTTTAGTACTGCAGTCTTCGACATTTGCAGAATCCACAACTGATCCAATTAATTCAAGAGAAAGACTTGCAACATCAACCTGAAGAAAATTAATCAGGTCAACAAACGCTTTTACAAAAATACACATCAAAAACATTACAGATTCTTACTGCAGAAATACAGCCGGTAAAGCCCTGATCAACATTCATCCCAGGGGCTAGTTTAATCTTTTGTGTATCATATCCACCAATGTACAATGGTGTCTGTAAGTTAAGGGGCTTTGGAGAACCATGGAGACGTTGTGTTACTGGAGGCTCTCCATCGACAGATAGGCGGGCCACTCCTGTATCCCGAGATAATGACACAACAAACCATTCACCTCTATGAAGTTCCCTCTTTGACCTCAAAACAGATGTTCCTAAAAAGATGGGGGGAAAAATTATTTAAGAACAAAAACCTATAATATTGACAAATACACTAAATATAACAAAGCTAGTTGTGTTGATGTAACGAGTGAAGGTAACATACCTGTACCAGCATCAAAACGGAACTCAAAATGTCTATCTCTGATAGAAAGGGCAGCAAAATCACCTGATCCATCATCATTCTGGGCACTATACATAACTAATGCGTCCTTAACATCAGCTGGATTTATTCTCAGAGTCATTTTCAGCCTGGAACATCATTTTAAAAATATTTGGTTTTCCATAAGGCACTTCTTACAGTTCTTGTAAAGAATTTCATAACAAAGGACATACTTTTTAGGAGTTTTGGGTGTAGGATATGCAATGTATGCTCCATTTGAAAATGCAGGATCCTGTATGGCAACATCATACTCACAGTTCCTGCCTATTTTACCCATGGGGCACAAACACTGCATTCCTCCAAGAGGAAGATTCACACAACGGCCCGCGCCACATGCACCTTAAAAATATTAATAAGAATATAACAGTTTACATTGATGTGAATAAGAGTTTTCAAATTTAAATACAAAATCTCTTACCTGGGTAACATGATTGGCCTGTCTTACTGCAATCATCTCCACTAAACCCTGCAGGACACATGCATGTGTAACCAACAGATGTTGGGGCTTCTTGACAAACACCTTTGTGTTTGCATGTGTTTCCAGCACAAGTTTCACAAGTTGTTACTCCAAGAATTTCTGTGGCATCACGAACTAATTCATGCTCAACATTGCCAACAACAAGTCTACTGATACATCCTGAAATGATATATAATTTAAGAGTGATTAATTTGTTAACTGAGGTTTAAGTATAATCTCAGAGAGCAATTGTACTACTGTAGTACTAGAGCAGTTGAACATACCGACGAATCCTTGAGAATGACCAGTTAGGCGATGAATGGCTTTAAAATCGGGTACTCCACCCAGATACAGAGGTTCTGATAAGTCTAGACCTTGGAACCTGCCCGGAGCAATACCTGTATGTGGACCTGCTTCATCAACATACATTTCACCTGAAATAGTTTTAAAGACATTTTTAAATTTTTACCTGAAGATTGGATGATCAACTACATAAACTAGAAACAAAAATCAAAGCATTACCATCCCTGCGGTTTCGGATTAACTTGACAGTATGCCAATGACCAAGAGAAACAGGACGAGCACTTCTTATAACCGCAGGTCCTGATCCAACATCAAATCTAAACTCAACAAAGCCACCATTCAATCCAAGAGACACAAAGTCCCCAGAACCACCACTTTGTTGCCCATTGTACAATATTAACCCTGAAATAAGGAACATGGAAATAATATTTTTAGGTCTTATTAAATATCAAGTATGATGGATATTCCATGCAAAGAGTACACTCACCATCAGATCTTTCTGGTTTGAAAGAAATAGATATGTTGAATGTCATATATGCTATTAATGTGGGTAAAGCCATAAAAGAATTGGGTGCTTGGGCAAAATATGGTACTACTCCTGTAACAACTAGGACTGTTCTTATATCCATTTTCTTCTCTTCATTCTGGGCAGTGCATGTATAAAATCCAGCATCTTGGGCTCTAACATCTACAATAGTCAATGTTGACTGCAAAAAAAAGGGGGGACAGAAAAATTGAGAATTACTCCACATTATTTTTTTTTTTGTATATTTATCTACGTAACAACACTTTACCTCCATTTGTCCTCTAGCGTCACGAGGAAGTTCACCACCTTGCTTTGACCACATATACTTCACTGGAGGATTTAAATTAGTTCTACAAGCCATCTCAACAGTCCTTCCATATGCAGCTGTCTGAGTTTCAACTGGAGGTGGTTCTATCAGATTGATAGGAGTAGCTATAGTAAAAGCAGAATTGTCAATAAGAAAGATAGGTTTGAATCAAAACCACTAAAGTACAGACAAGTTACATGTATTACCTTCAATAATTAGAGTGTAATCTTCAGATAACATACCCCCCGATGTTCTTGCATTGCAGCGGTATGTACCTTCATTTGATGGCCGTACACTAGTGATACTGCAAGGAAAGGTTATTTTAAAGTTAAGTGAATAGGAAATTTATTTTACCAATGTACTTTAGTGTTATGTGGATTAGACAGTAATAATATATTACCTCAATGTATCATTGATCACTCTAACATTGTTTGCCAACTGGCTGCCAATCTTGGTCCAAGTAACGGGTACAGCACTGCCCCCAAGGACACCACATCGTATTTCAACATTATCTCCATTTCGAATCAAATCTTTGTTAGGATAGATTTGAAGTTCAATTTTGTCTGCTTCTCCAAAGCCACTCATGCCTATTTCTGTTTCATATAAAATCACAAAATCTCTATTAATTTTTATCCAAAATACTTAAGCATTTAACTGATTGATTTTCATTTTTGTTAAAATAGAAGACAGACATGCCTGAATAGTCAATTAATACAAAAGTTGGAGAAAAGTACATGCCCATACTGTATGAATTAGTGTATTTCTTTCCATTCCTCTTAATACCACAATACCAAACCACCAAGAGAAAATATACCACCAGCACCCACAGTTGCCAAATTGACACTGCTTGCTTTATGAGAAACACAATTCTTATTCTAAATCAAATCTACAACAAAATCCTGACAGAAATGCTGACCTGAAGAAACAACTTTTTAAAAAAATTACTGCTGTCTTGTTCTTTTCTTTTTTTCTTTTTTTTTTTTGTAGAGTACTTTGAAAATACTGAGAATTGAAAATGTTAAAAATACAATCTACAGAGCAAATCATCAAGAATTTAGATACTTAAAAGACAACAACAAATGAGCCCTGACGTGTCACGCCTACAAAAGCCACTTGACCTCATGAACTGTTTTTCCTAAATACACTGACTTCGACTAAATTTTGAAGCAAAGAATGTGTGATATTTTACTCATAAGTAACGCACCACGTGGTGATCGATTTGTAGGACAACCGAGCTCATCACTGCCGTCCTCACAGTCAGCGACGCCGTTACAAAGGCGGTCTGAGGGAATGCATTGTTGGTTTCCCCTTACGTAGCACTGTATCGCACAATAATCCGCTGGCACTGGTAGTGCAAGAGATGGTGAGTACAACACAAGAAAATAATACAAATAAAAACAAGCCAAGTGCCATACACATGCAAGAAATAAATAATCAATGCTGAAATTATAAAGAATTAAAATGTTGGTTAAAGCAAGAATAAAACATAAAGCTATGAGAGGCAAAATTAGAACACATAGAAAGGAAAATCCCACAATTCAAGTTAGTTCCACTTCACCTTTGACCAAACAATAACATTAATATGAAAGCATTCTAATCCCAATAAGGTATAAATGGATAGTGGAATCCCCTTATGTTTCGGCTTAGAATGATTCTCCATTTCCCCCTTTCCTCACATATAACATTGAAAAACGTTGAAAAAGCAGAATCAAAGCTGTTTTGATGGAATAAACTATTGTTTTCATTATAAAATGAAAAATAAATAAATAAAGGAACAGCAGTTATAAAACAACCATGCCGACTAAGCTCAATGAAAGCAAAAACCTAAGTTCATTTACGGGCAAAAGTTGTAAATTGGATGTGCTACTTATTTCTCTTACATGCTGATTTTTTTTTTTTTTTTTTTTTTTTCAAATTGAAGAGTTGATAATAGAGGAATATCAAAGATTTTCAGCAAGTACCGTACCCATATCAAAGATCATCCCCACCCCCAATCACAAAAACAGTTATAAATTGATTGAAAAAATATATATATTTAGAATGCATGAGTGAACCTCAAGTGAAAAAAGTGTATTTAAAGAATTGGAAATCACACATGCTCCAGTGCAAGTGTAAGGTAGAAGGGATATTCGGCATGCTGCAAAACCTTGAAAATGTCAGAATAAATGAATCCAGGAGAAGTATTTACCTTCAACCCTCAAGTTGACATAGTCTGATCCAACATCTGCATCAGAACTTGCTTGACACTCATAACGACCAGCGTCAGCCTGTTTCACCTGGTAAATTGTCAATGTTCCAGCCTCTTGTACAGCATTTTCAGGAAGAGCACGTCCCTCATGAGTCCATGTAATCTGTGATGTTGTGAGCATTGAAGTGTGCAGACATTAATAAGCATCAAATATCTTAAACTGAAAGTCAAGAAATTTCATTTCTATGTACCAGGGTTCCTGGGGAGCTTGAGCAAAGCAAGCGGGCATTGGATCCTTCATGCACAATTTGCTCATGGTCAACCGCTCTAACAAGGGATGCTGGTTGTTGATCTTAAACAACGATAAGAGACAAATGACAACATGTGAGCAATGTTTAAAGAAATAGATAATTTTAAGAAACTCACCCTGAACTAGCACTTCAGCAACAGCATCAGCTTCACCATACTCATTTCTTGCACGGCACAAGTAACGTCCAGAGTCTTGAGGCCCAATACGAGAGAACTGGTGGAATACAATGTTAATGTTATATTAAATAGAAATAGAAACAAATTTCTTTCAGAAGCAAGAAGTCAAAGAGTGCTGACCTCAAGGATTCCATCATGGTCATTGGCATTGCTCGGGAGTGCTGAGCTACCAAGGTTCTCTCTTCCAGGAATAGTCCACATTATAGTGTGGCGCTCAGTATCAATAACACGACATTGAACTCTGGCACTTTCTCCAGGACGAACCACTTGATGTTGAGGATGCAATTGAATTTGAGGTGGTCCTGTTTGATGTTAAAAAATAAAAAAAGGTAAAAAATCCAAAGCTTGTAGCTATTGATGAGGAATAAGGATACTTACCATTGACAACTAATCTAGCTGGAGCTTGGAAAAGAAGTCGGTTGTCCTCATATCCTTCACAAATATAGAGACCAGCATCTTCTTTTTTAACATCAGATAAATGCAATGATCCTTGCGACAATGTGTGGCTAGCAGGTAGTTCACCGCCAGACCGCATCCATTTAATAAAGGTATTGCTACTATTGTGACGGAAATCACAGCGAAGTTCAGCATTGCCATGAACATTGACCACAAAAGGTTCCCGGTTACCATAGCTCCCTGGATCTTCACCAGTTATATCTCCCCTTTCAGGATAGCGGTCAAGAACATCATTGCTTTCTTCCACAATTAATTGCACTCTATCTTCGGCTAAACCAGCCTTATTGCGAGCAGTACAACTGTATGAGCCCTCATCTGCCTTAGAAGCACGAGTAATTTCATAAACAGCAATTTGAGATGATTCAGCAGTCAGATTTGTCGGTTCACTGCAATTGTAAAGAAAATAAAAGATTAACATTTTGTGTACACTGATAATCACTTTCAAATTAAAAAAATATACAGCATATTAACACACTAGTAAGCATAGCCCGGCCTGTTGCGGGACCAGATAACAGTTGGACTGGGCTCGCCATGGGCTCTACACTCAAGTCGTACTGGCTGTCCAGTGCTTATTGTTATAGGAGAAGATGGTGTAATAGTAATGGTGGGCATTGAATCAATCTCCAAAGAAGCTGTAGCATTTGTAGTTCCAACTTCATTTTGAGCTTCACATGTGTAGTCACCAGCATCAGCGGTAGTAACACGGTTAAATCTGAAAAAAATTTCATAGAAATATTAATAGAACTCTTTTAAATAAAAGAGCAGAGTTATGAATGAAGCATAATATGAACAGACATTTAGAGGAATGTTACATGTGCAATCATAAATTAATATATAAAAAATATAGAGATATATTCAAAGCTTTTAAAAGTACCTCAGAACGCCATTTTGAAGTTCTTCGACATTTGGTGATAGAGCAAGACTATCAGAACGTCTCCAAATAATTGCTGGAGATGGGATACCACTAGTGATTCGGCACTGTAGAAGTGCACTTCCTCCCACCACTACAGTCTGCCGTTGGCTTGGGTAAATTTCGATTGCAGGGGGCTCTCGACCTGCTCAAAGATTTTATGAAAATCACTGTGTTTATATATTTGGCATATACAAATGTTGAACTTTTGTAAACAGAGGCAACATCAACTCTGTGACTTACGTTCTACTTCGAGAATAGTTGAAGCCTGAGAAGTGCCACCATCATTTTGAACTGTGCACACATAAACTCCACGATTACGAACTAAAGCATTATTGATTTTCAAGATGTTGCCTAGTTCCTAGTGATGTAAACAAGAAAAGAAAGATGTAACAAAGAAAAAAATCAAGGGGGAAAAAAGATGAGGATAGGTAAGGAGTTAATCCATATTTGAGATTTCAAACAATGTTCTCAACAAATCTATCTGTACCTGGACATTGCTACCCATGTCAGGTTCACCAGCTTTGCTCCACCGGATTGATGATGGTTCAACTGATGTTAAGCATCGCAACTCAGCTGTGGTACCCTGCGAAACTGTTTGACGCTCTGGCTCAATACGAGCAGTAGGAGGGCCCCTAATAAAAAATAAAACAAAATGAAATAATATTTCTTGTGGCATCATGCAAGAATCAGTTTTGAAAAGAAAAATCTTACATTTCACGATATGCATACCTGTTTGATGAAATGGATACTCTTGCTTGTATTTCCTCAGCAAGACCAGTAGCCCTAGATGTCACTCTACACAGATAAATGCCAGAGTCTGCTGGATTTGCATCGAATATTGTGAGTACCCGATCCTGCTGGTTAGCTGTAGATGGAAGGGCATTGCTGCCTACCTTTGACCAGTCAATTCTGCAAAGGGAACAAAATAACTTACAAAAAGTTAATTAGAGTGAATTCAATAGGGGGAAGAAGACCAGACGTACGAGTAATAGTCATTGTATCCAGGAACACATGTCAAGCGAACTGTATCTCCAGCTTGGCCAGAGTAGTCGGGTGGAGATATTGATAATCTTGAGTGGGGATCGGTGATCATCGATGGAGGACGAGATACTCCTTCTAGATAAAAAAACGTATGTCATAAATGAATTGTCTCAACGCAAACTTATGAATACACGTGATAAACAAAAGAAATTCATGGTAGATCACATTAAACCACTTCTTACCACGGACATAGAGAATTGTTCTTTCAGAAATAGTTCCAAGAGGATTTGTGGCTATACAGTGATATTCAGCTTCATCAGAACGCTGAGCAGCTGGTATTCTGAAAACTCCATCTCTGAAAGAAGCCTGGGGAAAAAATAAAGAGGGATTAGTTTGCAACATAAATGTTGATCATAGATTGATGCTGAAATTTTAAGTGCCACATGAAGGTAAAATCAACTAACCTGCGGGTTGTTTGGCCCACCAGTCCATTGCAGAGATGGCAAGGGAGTTCCAGTGGTATGACAATTGAAGGCAACAGGCTCTCCTTCTTGAACCTCAAGATACCGTGGAGATATATGAACTTCTGGAGCAGAAGGTTCAGAACCTAGAAAAAAGGTTTGTGAAATTCAAGAGGACCAACAAAATTTAAGTATACCTACAAATTTTATTGACAGGGAACACAATAATGCCTTGCAAGACCTGTTGCATTTTTCAAGTTTTCAGTTTTCAAGTTAAAAATATTACACAGTACCTTGCTTAAGAAATATATCCTTAGGAAAGTCTAATAAAAGCAGCATGAAATAAATAATAAATGCAATCGAATATATGGTTAGAAGATGAAACTAAGTATGTTACTAGTAATATGTATTTGGCATATGGATTAATAATCCATTTGGTTTCTAAATTTCTTACCTCCTACAGTGAGAGTGGCTCTCTCTGTGACATAAGAGCTACCATCAGTGGCAGTGCAAATGTAGGTACCAGAATCAGACACAACTGCGCTTATGATAACAAGCCTTCCTTCACCATCATCAGTAGATCTATCACGTACAAGATTACCACCTTCTTTTGACCAATAAATTCTCACTGGGCCCTAGAAATAAAAGGAGGCAATGTCAATTATGAATTCTCTATACTATAATATTTATTGAAAATGAAAATACCTTGTTTGTGAGTGGTCGAGCTGTACATGAGAATCGCACTGTGCCCCCAACTTCAACAATTTTAATGGTAGGCTCAGCTATAGCAATGTGAATTGATGGGGGTTGATTAAAAATCTCGGGTGAGGGAGATACAGGATAATCTAGGAGAAAAGGAGAGAAAAAAACTTTTAAAAAACATCAAAAACATTCTATTCAAAAGAAAAAAAAATGGACTTATTAACACAGCAGAGCAAAATCTGAGAAAAGACAAATGCAATAAGCTATACACACAATGGAAGAGCCCATTTCATCCCACAATAATGTTTTTTTGGAAGAAAAGCTCCAATTTGTAAAAAGTTGAAAAATGTGAGCTGCATATCTTCACACTGAGTGGAAAACGAACATTTTGCAGATTTTTTTAAAAGACAAGCATTCACACAATAAGCCTTAAAAAACAAAACAAAAAAAAGGAAAAACACACACACACACACTTCATGGCATAAGAGTAAATTCCCATGTCAAAAAAGATATGGAATGATACTAATGGTATTGTACCTAAGTACTTCATTTGAACTCTTAAATGCTACATTTCTTCCCTAACAAAAGTTTGAAAGGGGAATGGCATATCATGACATGGCAATGGGTAGTTGTTAATATGTTTAAAAAACAAAAAACTTTAAAAAACTCACAAATATGTACAAGAGGATGAGGAATTTAAATTCTAACTTACTGCAGTCTAGCTCATCACTGGTATCATACAGACAATCCACAACACCATCACAACGTTGGTACGAGGGGATACATGGTCCATTTTCACATCGAAACTGACCACCATAACAAGGTTCACTCCAATCTAGGACAATTTTGAAAAAATAAAAATAAAAGGATTCTTACCCTATTTTTAAGAGATAGATACTAGACAAAAAAAGTGAAGTTGAACAAGAGCGTGAAAGGAGAACTTTGTCAAGAAATATTTAGTCTAACTGTAATTAAAAACAGAAAAAAGGTGCTTGTCTATCGTCTATCATTTCTTGGACCTATACAGATCCTGACTTTCACAACAACGAGCACACAAGGACAGTCACCCAGCTCCAAACCTGTGAAGCAACACACTAACAAAGGCAAACATATCTTTAAATTCTTTAAAATTTATGCAAAAACAAAAGTACTGGGACGACAGAAAGGCATGTACCTTAACTGAAATTAAAGAGAATCAAACCTTTTGTCATAATATGAGACATCACCATTGCCACATCCAACCCATCTGAATTTTTGATGACGCATTTTACAGCTCTAAGATCTGCAGTGATTGTAACATCAAATGCTTGCTCATCACTCATTTTGAGTTTTCTTGATAGGTCAAACAAAGGTGCAGGACCCATGTGTCTGATATTTCCAGAAACACTTTTAACGTTCGCAATGTGAGAATTTGGTTTTAATCTTCTGATTTCTTCGAACTCTATGCCCAAGGGCTCACTGCCATAGTAAGTACATGTGAAGTGAACCAGTGCCCCTACTTGTTGCCTAACAGTGAGGGGAGTGAGTTCAACACGAACGCCATCTGATAATTTAATGAATATTTTCAGTTTGGTGAACTAAAATTTGATTAATCTTAAACCTAAACTAAAAATTATTGGAGAACGTCAAAACTTGGAGGTTTCTGTAAAATAATTTGGTATTATCT